CCAATGTGAGGGGAATAGGTATGGGTTTTGAGACTACCCTGTGTCATTCTGTACAACCTGCAGACTTCGCTTGTATTGCTTTGCACTGCATGGCTGTTTCCTATTTTCATACTTTCTGTTTCCATACCACCCGTCTTCTATTCCTGGATTTTTCACTGCTCCAGCATTTTGTGCTGCTCCCAGTTCAAGCCCCTTCATGCTTCAGCTTTGTATATCCCTTTCCTTACTCATGTAGTCTTACTTTCTCCCAGGGTTCAATTTTCCTTGGCCAGCTTGCATAGACACAGGTTCCCTTTTCTTTCCTTCCACACCCACTCCACCCAGTCCCAATCTTCCTTTCCAAGATGCCAGATACAAGTGCATGGAAAAAGCATTGTTTTGTCTAACATAACCCTTTTTCTGGTACTTCTGCATTCTCCATCCCTAAATAAGGTTGAGGCAAACACCTAAGAAACAAAAAATCATCCTGAAAGGCTGAAATGTGGCAAAGTCTTAGGAGACTGGGAGTGGACAGAATATAATACTCGGGACCACTGTTTGTAGGCCACACCACTGTCTGATTCTTAAGCAATATTGTAAACTGAAATTCCAAAATAAGGTCAGGATGCAAATATACCAGGTAAGAAAAGCTGTGTAAAGACATCAGAAGAGAAAGTTATGCAAAGAGGAAGAAATTAATGTTGTTTATTGCTGACATGGCTTTCTCCTGTCTCTCTAGACTTTCTCCCTTTATATTTGTTCCATTCTGGACCCAGGAATGAATACAAATTAGTTTAATAAAATTTCCCAACTGAGATACAAAACATTTGGAAATGATTTTAAAATATACCATGCAGCTGAAATGTCATGGTTAATTTTAATCTGCAGCATGCTGTTAATATCCTCTGGCTATTTCAATGGTGCAGAAGATTGTAATTACTCACCTGTTAAAGCAAATGGAGCTTTAACAAATCTGATCACAGCTGAAAAGGAGGAGTGGAGAAGACAGGTAGACAGATGCTGTCTCAGTATGTCATCTGTGAATGATGCCTTTGTAGCTCGTTGAGAGGAATTGGGTAGCTATAAAGAAAAAAGCCTATATTATGAAGTGGACTGTTTCCTGTAATAGCAACCTTTTCTAGATTCCCCTTTGACAAAGTTTTCCCAGCATTGCAACAGAGACAGTGCTAGTGCAGTTCGCAGCTGGTGTAACACATCCTTTGTTACAGAGGTGAAAAAGTAAGTGGGATGACATAAAAATATAATCAGTGGTGAGCAAAGGGTAAGTAAGTGCTATCCAATGTTTTCCTTACAGCATTGGCTGTTTTCTGCTTCCTCTCATCACCATTTTGGCATTTTTTGCCTTTGATCAAAAATTTATAGGGCCTCATTCATCAAGCTGTTAATTTACTATTGCTTCTGTCCCTTGAGTTTCACCGGCATCAAAGAGCAGTGAGTGAGGCTTGTGGCTGTCCTTGGCCTGATGAGGGGATGGGGGAGCCCTTCATGGGGTCTTTGCCTGGGTGTCAAGAGGTGGTCCTTCTACAAGTTATGCTGGTATGCCAGCATAACTTGTAGAAGTTGGTAAAAGTGCTGTCTGAAATCCTTCTCTCAGTGACATGTGTCCATCTCCTGTTGATTTTGTCCATCAGAGTCACTGAGAGATAAACTTGTCCTGCATCTCAACGGTAATGGCTTCAAAGTATAAGCTATGTGAGAGGCCCTAAGGTAGTAGCAGCATGTCCAGGCCACAGAGGGTTTGCGTTTTGACTTTAGCTACATGGCCACACCACATGTGGGAACATTATGTCACACTAGGAGCCTGTTTTCTCCCCTGAACTGAATAAAATGTAGAAACCTGAGCTGTCCCCTCATGCTGGCTGGGGAATTTCTTATCTCCTGAGACCTAAAGTCCAGTAAATGCACTTTTCCACCTGCTTTTGTCCGGTGATAAGTTTTGCTCTTTGGAAGGAAATGTTCTATATAATTTCAATTTTAATTTTTGCACTTAAGTTCTGTTTTAAGAAAACCACCTTGATCTTCCTTCAGTCCACACTGATCTCATGCTGAGTAGTTTAAATCATAAAATCATAAAACCTTTCTCACGGGAGAATGTAGCTCATCAAAATCCTGTCACTCGCACTTGGAAGGTAAAAAAGTACTTTGAAGTGGTAATGAAGTAAGTTCCTGCTGCTTAACAGAAAGTTTTGATAAGATCATGTTCACTGGGTGAGTACTTATCAGAAGAGCTGCAATTCATTTAGTGGAAAAAAGGATCCCAGTGGAAAGTATTTAGATTGGAAGATCTAGCTGTTGAGCTTCTTAGCGAAATGCATCCTCCTCCCTTCCTCTGCATGTCCTTTAAAGAAGCAGGTCTGGTGGTCCTGGGCCATCTCCCATCTACAGTGACTGTGTTTACTGAGAGCTTCTGAGCTAACAACTGAAGATAATGTTGTGGTTTTCAACATAAGCACAGCGAACCCCTTCAGGCCTTTCAGTCTTTCCTCCTCTGGAACAAAAATGTGCATTTGCCAGGTGAGTGGTGAGCTCTCACTTCTTCTCTCACATGGCTATGCTAGTTAATGTCATACTCCTCCCATTCTCCACGCTGTATCCATGTTCCCCAATTCTTGTTCCTTTTTCTGTATCTTCTGTTTTTTTAATGTGATGTATCCTTTCTGCTTTCTCTGGGCTTGGTTGAAATATTTTGCAGTGGGATTTTTAATAGAATGCAGGGTAGGTGCCCATCTTGTACCCCACCTTGCTTTGGCCCTCAAGATTACTCTATCTGACCTCTATTTTTCAATTTATCCAGCTTAGTAAACTCTACTGGCAAAGTGCTGAAAGCCATCAGGCTTTTCAGAGTCAGGGCAGCACCCCAGTCCCTCAACCACTTCAAGTCATGCAATCTTTTAAGTAGACAGAATGATGAAAGAAATGACAGATGGTAGTAGCTTTCCAGATAACTGAGCCATTTGTGGAAAAATTAGATTTTAAAGAGATTGAAGCAGTTGGAATGCTTTGGGACAATCAAGAACAAACATGGGTAAGATGCACAGTGTATTATTAAAAACAGGAGGAAAGAGAATGAATTTTAGATTTTTACAGAGTGATTCTGTTGGGTTTGAGGCTTGACAAAAATCCACTGTGGGGATGGTCAAGTACTCACCTCAAAGAGAGGGGACACTATGGGCTGTAAAATGTTTCTTTCAGTAACCATATATTGGCTGGCATGTTACATACGCACATGCAGAAAAGCCCTATGTGATTTCTAAAGAGAAAAGATTAGTGTGAATATCAGCTACTCGTGAAAAGCTGACAATACAGGCAGAGCTCTTGGAGGTTTTGAGAAAGGATGTGATGGTATGAGATTGTCTAAGGCCCCTAATGGGAGACATTGGATTCCCTGAACATGGACATATCTAGTAGCTTAGAGGGATGAGCTTTTAAGCAACGAGGCTTGAACAGTGGCCTCAAACACCAGTGATGGTTGTACCATGGTACGGACAGGAGAACAGCATTGTCCTTCTACGTCCTTTCCCCTCCTGCAGCCACACCAGGTTGTTCACATCTTGTCCCAAGGGTCCTGACAGACTGCAGCAGTTGAATTGCTGAGGGAAGAAGTGGGGTAGCAGCATCTGTTTTCCTCTGTGGGTTTCCATGCAGTGAACATGGCTGGCCACTTTTCATGTCCATCTGGTGCCAGGTGGAAAGTTGTGTCTCTGGGGACAAAGCTCCCTTGGTTAACATGAAGAGGTGGACGAAGTCGTGGGATTAGGGGTCTGTGTCAGGTGTATTTCCGTACATAGGAGGAGGGCAGTGCCTCAGGGAGTTCAACCCTGCAGCAGCTCTGACAGGGGGGAGCGACCCTGTGTCTTCTGCCTCTGTATTTAATCACAGTGGGAGTCAAGTGCTGGGGGAGAGCTCACAAATCACACCAGGCAGTTTTGTTGTGGGGTTGTAGCAGTATGACAACTGTTAACAACTTCCTGCTTGGGTAAATTATATCAGACATTGCTTCACAAAGGTCGCTGTAATGAGTTTTCAACAAGAATTTATCCCGGAACCATGACACTGAGCGTAAGTAATTGCAATCATACGCTACCTGTGTCATTGATGGTTTCTGCTATTCTGTAGTAAGTGCTATAATACCCTGTGTAATTGGAAAGAAATACAGTATTTTTCTGCTTTCTTAAGAACAAGAATTGTTACTGGAATAGAGAATGGTCCCTAAAATCCTGATGTGTATTTATGTAAATCTATGTAATATGAAATACAAACTTTCTTACGTGATACCATCTAAACTAATGTTGTACTCACGGAACTAGTATTGATTGTCTCTGCTTTTGAGGTATATTTTTCGATACCAGTATAATAATCTACCATGTAAATCATTCACTGTGTTGGGTTCATAAGAGAAGCAAGACTGAGTCTGGACACAAGTATATCTTGTGTTATTCTTGAAAGACTCAGATTTAGAAAGAAGGAAGATTTCATACTCCTGTAAGTCTCTTTTGTCAGTTTTTGAGGATTAGAAATATACGGGCACGGCAAAGAGTAATTTTCCTCGCTTGTGTGGGTCTAGCTTTCCAAATAAATTACATTCATGCTATTGCTTCTGGGAACATCTGCATTTAAATGAATCACAAGACAGTAATACTATCTTTCAATAATCCACCTTCTCTTTTTTCCAAGGAAAGTATGTCTGGTGTGTGTCAGTAAAAGGAGGTCAGTGAAAAATAAAATACTGAGGCAGGAATGAAAGCAGCATCACTTAACTTGGACTACCTGGATATTGCTAAACTAGGTCTCAGTCAGACCAGTTCCTCTCATCCTGAAAGAACCCAGTAGCTTCTGACCTGTGTCTCAGATTTTTTATCTACCTAGAGCCTTTATGGTGAATTTATTTTTAAGGAGCAGTTAGCAGATGAACTGGCTCCAATATAGCAGAGTGTGCCTCTTGTGAACCCTGACGGTAGAAATGAATAATAAATACCTGTTGATTTTTTTTCCTTCCACAGGCATCAAGGTTATGTTTATACCTACAGACTGTCCAAGACAGAAACTGGGTCCTGGTGTGCTGAGGTGTGTACTTCTCCTTTCTCTTCTGAAAATTTCTACTTCCTGTTTGATGTTTGTATTGATTAAATGAAATATGTGAAAATTATTCATGTTTCTGCGTAATCGATTTTGAGTGTGCCCATCAGTAAGATGTCTTGGTGCCATGTCTGACAGTCTTGAACTCGTGAATTAATTCCCTGTTACATTTCAGCTGTTGCATAATGCAATAGTGCATTATTTTGCATCATTTTAAGTGACAAAAATATTGTGATTTTATAATTTGACAGGTACAATCTGGTTCCTACAATCCCACACATCACCAATATCAGAATATTTGAGGAAATTATTTTCAATCTATGGTGTTTTAAAGTTAATTTATCTCCAAATTAATTCATCATTGGTGCAAAACATATATAGGGTAGCTGAAACTTGCTACAAAATGCATTTTCACCCATCTGATGAGAACCTGGTAATTCAAGTGTAGAATTAACATTACTTGCAATACAGACAAGTATTTGTGTTGAAGGAATCGGATGCTAACCTGTGTTTCTTTTATGAAGGTCTTGTTGGTTGGATGTACTCTGTGTATTAATTCATACTTAAATTGCACATTAATGAACACTGATTGCAAACATTAAATAACTTCTAGGCAGGCCTAATTCCTTGGCCGTTATTACAGTAGGAGTGGTCTGGAATACAAAACTAATTCCTGGGGTTACTCAGAACCAGATTGGGGAGTAAAAGTGACTCACATTACTGAGGAGCAAATAATTATCTGCGTCACCCCTGGGAGTGGTTCCCAGGGAGAATTTGCTCCTTCATTCCTGTAAGGCAGGAATGGGAGGATGCTGTAGATTTGTACGGTCCAAGTGGGAGGTTTCTTGGGACAGGCTGGGGATGGTAGTGCACCCAATGTGCCAGGGTGAGGACTGGTGTATCAGGAAGGATGCTGGGATCCCCAGGGACCTGTGGAGGGTATCTCCCTGAGCAAGGATGCAGCCTGCTTTGATCCCAGGTAATGTCAGGATCTGCAGTCTGGTGTTATAGAGGCCTGCTACAACTCCTCCCCCATGACCTCCACTGGGTCTTGGGTTTCCCCTCACTGTATTTTAGGCAAACTTTGTGTTTTACAGCGTAGGTGTCCTGAAAGACCAGGACTCCCAGTACATCTCTCAATACATCCCTCTGCAAGGATAGCTACAGATCTGTGATACCAACCCTTCCATTAAGCAAACAGGAACCTTTAAGTAAATGCTGCTAAGAACATGCTGGCCTCAGCTGTTAGAAACAGCACCCTAAATCCAACTTATCCCCCCCCCCCAGCCAAACCAGGCTGCAGCTGCAGCTGATGCTTTCCTGTCTCTGCTTCCTTCCTGGGGCTGGTTAGTCTCTGACAAGCTTGGGTCACACCCATCTTTCAAGGAGGAGGCAGGGAAATTAAAACAGCACTGGTAAAATCCCAGCCAGCGTGAAGCTTCCAGCTGGTGCCAGGGAGGCAGCATTTACCCAGTTACACTGATGAGAGTGAGCAGGGTCCCTTGGCTGGGACTATGCCAGCAGGACCTATACTTGTCCTCCCATGACTTTGGTAGGGAGGAGAACGCCCTGAAGGATTTAGCAGAAACATTGGATCTTTTATTAAAAGCAGGCACAGTTTCATTTCACAGTGTTTGAAGGGATGCTAATATAGAAAGACAGAAAAACTCCCACTTCCAATAAATAGGTAACATTTTGCTGCTGCCTTTGTAAAGAGGTAGACAGAATACTCAATGAACACATAGAGCAGTACTAAATGCTCAGAGAAAGTCTCATAAAAAGATTGTGTCCATGCCTGAATTGAGTGGCATGAGGACTCCTGCTACCCAGTAAATGCCAGGTAGCTCTCTAGATTGTCTTATTTATTTCCAGGCTGGAAGTATCTTACTGATAAACCCAAGGCTGGAGGTTAAATCACTGGCTGCAATAAGTCACGGTCAGAAATAGCAGACGATCATTTGGGAATTTGCCTAATAAGCATGGCAGGCTCTGGGTTTCTCTTGCAGTGATTAAGAAATTGTCCCTTTTCCAACCTTATATGACCACACAGCTGGAAACTGTTCTTAGTGCAGGGAGGGGAAGAAGGCTCATTGATTCAGCTTAGGTTGGCACATCAGGAGGTCTAAGTGAAGGGCTGACTGCTTCCCTGTGGGGTGTGCGTGCTTTTCTGGGGACAAGCCTTCCATGCCTGGCATAGAGCTCAGCATCCAGCATCTCCTCTCACCTCTCACCCTTTGACTTTACAGACAGCACCCGGCGTCCACCAGAGGCACTTTCGGAAAGTGCATAACCTCATTTCGGCCTTCCAGAAACCTGACCAAGGCATCATAACGCCTCTGCAGCACCCTGTCGTCAACCACGTGAAAGCCAAATACCTTCCTGGTACTCATGGGGCGAAGGGAGATTTGGCCTTGGCTGAGCAGAGCCCTACATGGCGGTGGGGATGGAGGTCTTAGATTTTGCATCTTTGACCTGGGCTAGCCAGCATTGACAGAAATATGTCATAACTTTGCTACCACGTGATTGAAGTGCTGGCACCCAGGTGCTCATTAGGGATAGGGTCTGTCAGTGCAATGAGAAAATGGATTTTGAATATGTATTCCTGGTGGTAGATACCTTCCCTCCCCACATCCCTCCCTCTTGTAGGTACGAACCTTCTGATTTTTGTGCAGTGTTCATCCTTTCATATTTTTGTGGTTATTTTTCTTAGGGAGAAATGAAGGCCGTGACTTCCACCCGCAGCCATCATGAAGATGTTTCCCCAAGTGTGATGTAACCATATCTTCCGGTATCTCCTCTCATCCATGCTCTAGAACAGAACTATTCACTGATGATAGTTAAAACAACTCCATGAGTTTTCGTGTAACATTTGCAGAAATGTGTATTTTGTAGAATTTTTAACTCAAAATTCAGAAGCTTTAGGTTTTCATATGTTTTGACTTCAGGGGATTTTCTTTTAATCCCCCCCCCCCCCCCCCAAGCAGAAGACAAAAAATATCAACTACTAAATAGTGTAATGTCTTCTTTTATCTTTGTGCATTCAAACACTCAAGTATAAAATATTTTTCACTTCAGTATTAGTTCCTGATTAATAGTTAGTTACTAATTTTACGTTACTTCACTTTGGACTCTGCTTTGCTTTGTTCTGGTCATTTATGCAGAGCTGAGCAAGTCAAGCCCTCTTCTTTCTTTAGCCTTAGCAAAATTGCTTACATTAAAGCCTTGGGTGGGCTGTGTGTCTGTCAGTTCCTACAGGTATTCCACAGGTGGCCCCATGAGGAGCCCTGCTAACTGATCTCCCATCACATCAGGTGCTCTGCTCTGTAATGCATCAGAACTGGCTACCACTGCACGGATGTACAAAGTTTGTAGTCTGCACAAGCAATCAAAAGCTTAAGCACTGAGTAGCTGAGACCAGCTAGTGATGTGGAGAGCATTGTTTCTGCTTTCAGATGTTCTGTGTAGTTGAAACAAACCATCCCTGAATACAATTTAACAAAATAAATTATTTTTTTTGTGACAGCTTCTCTGCTTTTCCTTACTTATCCCTGTGTCTTTCCAGCTGCTGCTGGAGGAGAGGTTTGGATCTACAGGACTCGTCAGCTGTGAAGGCTTAGTAAGTGGCTACCAGAGAATTTGGAGTACGTGCCTCTTACTCTCGGGTTTAACAAGCATTATGGTACCATCCTGTTTGAGCTGCCAGACACTAGGAAACCCTTTTGAACAGACTGGATGTCCTACAGCCCTCTTGTTTCAGGAAACAGTGCTGTGTCTGCACTGTGGTTAAAGGGTGGTAGGCATGGCTCGGCGGCACAGTGGGAGGCACTGGGGTTGATGGGGCTGGTGGTGGTTCCTGAGGCAGCACCTGCCTCTCTCCAATAGTATTTTTATCCCCATATAAGATACTTCCACGGGGATGCCTCCTTCACCAGTGTGTTAAAAAAACTAATTGTTGGTATCCTGGATCCTGTCTTGTTTTCATCTCACTAAAAGCAAGATGGACATGAAGAGTGACAGAGCGTAATGGGCTGCAAGTGTGGGGTTCAGCAAGCTTAGGCTGGTTAGGCTGCTCCAAGCAGTGTTTGCTAAGGCTGAAAGGTTTACCTTTTCTTTCTTTCCCTGTAAGTGGCTCTCTCTGTGTGTGTGTGTGTGTATAAGAAAGAGACAGTGCAAGCAACAAAACATTTTCTGTGAAGCACAGCAAGTTCCGTGTAAACAAGCAATGGGAACAAATGCAGTAAAAAAACCCCAGCCCCATTGTAACAGGGACTGGAAGGCAATACTCTTGAAAATTTGAGACAATTTCAGCTCATTGCTCAGTTTCTGCTGAATGAAGGCCAAATATCATTTATGGTGAAATGTTCCATGTCCCCCCTGACTGGTCATACACTCTAGGTGCATGTGTTGCTCTGTGCCCCCGTGTTACATATGCTGGTTGGTTGAAACAAGGGTCTCATCTTCATACTGTGGCAGATCTGCAGTGACTGGTCCCTGTTTGCTCCTCTCCAGCTTTGTGCTCCTGCAAACAATCCTTCCCTAAAGACAACTGACATGTTGGGTGCTGACAGAGTATGTGTGTGCCCCTGGGCTTCTTGGGAGAGCTCTTTTGCGTCCAAGGAAGTGCTGGGTCTAGACTTCTGGTTTACCTGGCCTCTTCTGGAAGCAAAAAAGAATGTGCTTGGAAATGGCCCCTGGCAGGTGATTTCACTGTGGTGGGGATAAATGCAGTGGGAAGCACTTTGCCCAAGGGCTGTTTCCTTACTCATCTGCTCTGAAGTGCAGTGAGCTGAAGATAACTGCTTTGCCTATGGGTGACTCCAGAAGTGCATTGTTCTTCTAAAAGATACATAAACCAGGCTGGAAAATGCCATTTTTGTTTAAAGCTAAGAAACTTGTTTCAGTTTATGATGTAAATTATTAAGACAATCTTGTTTGTGTTGTTTCTTTTGGGTACCCAAGGGTCTGGAATTGCTGCAGATTTCACCTTAAACAAGGTAAATTCCACCGCAAACAAGGTGGAAAGAGAAAGAAGGGCTCACGCTACCCGTGGGACAACGAGCTGATGCTTAGTTATGAATGAGTAATATGGAAAAGGCATAGCTTGACTTAGGTGTTAAGAGCTACAGATCTTTTTAGAGAGCAGCAGCCTCATTCTGTGGGCATCACTTCCCAGGCAATGCCTGTATCACCTGCTTCCTCCTTCCCTCCACCCCTGCAGCCACAGCAGGATGCAGGCCCTCAGTGCTGCGCTGCTCTGCCCTGTGCTACCCCGGGCTCCCACTGCCCCTTCTCCTGAGTGCTGCAGCCCTGGCTCTGATAGAGGATTTTGCAGCTCCCTGCAGGGACTTTGTGTCCTTGCCTGGGCCCTTCCTGCTCTGCCTTCTCCCCAGCAAGGGCAGCGCTGCTCCTCTGCAGGGACTAATCCTGCCATAGCTCTCTTTTCCCCTTTGCTAAGCCCTCCCTTACTCCCCAGCTCCAGGCATGACAGACTGCCGGCAGCATTGAATCAATACCTTTACCCAGACTGGTTTTTCTTCCCTTTTCTATGAGAACACCACTTTGGCCTCACTTCCTTCTTATCCATCCAACACAGGTCTTCCAGCATCAACCCTCACACTCTATTATTACAAAGCCCAGCTGCTCCAACTTGGTTTTCACCATGTAACCTTTTCTTCAGCCTTAAACACTCCTCCTGCCCCTCTTGTTCACTGTCTCCTCTCTCCTGCATGTGCTGGGCTTTTTCTTTTTACCTTTCTGATACACAGTCATTCATCACGATCTATTTGAGGCAGCTCTACAGAACATGTAATTACTTAAACTTTGCTCCTCAATCCCTTCCACCACCATTGACTTCACCCACTCAGTTCCTGCAAGTGCAAAGGCATTTAGCAGATTCTTTTTCTCTCTCTCACCTTCATTCTGATGAAATGTAACAACCTGTGCACAGAAACTGTGAAAACTGCAGTTATATCCATGAACTTTGGTGAATCAGAAGTAAAATTAAATCTTGCTAGCAACCCCCTGCCCTCCCAGCTTTTGAATCAACCAATGTTATCTGAAGCCCTTATTTAGCTGCATGGAAACAACTTTTACTGACATGACTGGAATGTCCCAAGTACATGGTATAAACAAAGACAAGGTCACATGCCATCAGTTTGCACCTTTATTTTTTAAAAATGAAATAGTCAAAGTACTTTCTTTTTCAAATATCGACACATAATATATTAACTTTTAGTATTTACAGCGTGTTGCTGGGATGTTCTTGTAGAAAATGCATGCTTCTGGCCTGAAACCCAGAGCAAAATGCATCAGACCATTTAACTGCAGCCATATAACATAGACCTGTACAGTATCCAGTCACTATTCAGCACAGGAGTTAGAGCAGGAATAAAAAAATTGGGATCTATTGTTTCCTAGCAACGAGGCTGAGGCCATTATAACACAATTTCTGTGAGATCAGAACCTCTAACTGGTGTTAGATAGAAACTGAAGATCGTGGCATACATTGTAAACGTTTTTACCTTGATGAGAAAGCTAAAAAGGAACATTACTTTGACATATATTGTATGCTATGCTTCTCTTTCTTGTTTATTGACACTTCTGCCTGAAGAGTATGAAGATTTTAATGTTTTATCATGGTTCATACAAGTAAAATACTGTCAAGGACACGATTTGATATAATAACATTTATTAAAAGGCTAAAGTCCATCACAAGATCTAAGGAAAGACTGGAAATCGTCAAACATGTTTCCTTAGACAAATAATGGCAGGTGACAAATGCCCGGAGAAATCCACAGCGAGTCCGACTCCACCATTCCCAGTTCCTGCCAAGAAGTGATTCCTCTGGCAGTTAGGGTGCTTTCGACCTGGTATGTTTTGCACTGAGGAGAGGTTTAAATAACAGTCAGCATTTGATAGAGAAAACCCTCATGGCTGTCAGCAGCAGCCTCATCTGAGTGGCACTGTGCTAGATGAAATGTCCCCAAGCAAGCTATCACCCTGCCAGGGATTTGCCCATCTCTTTTTGCTAGGGCTACAGTAGGAACTCCTCTGCCTAAACCACCTTCCCTTTTGGAAGTGTACCTTGGCTTCCAGCAGCACCCATCGCTGCTGCTCACCTTCAAAGGCAGAGTGGGGCTCGGTGGGCAGGGGTACAGGGCTGGGACCCCAGAGCTGCAGGAGTGATTGTGGCTGAAAAGGGAGGCCACGTCTATCTGCCTCCTGTACAGCTAAGAGGACAAAAAGAGCTCAAACCAAACAGCTAGGATGTGTATACCGAGTTGCACATTGACCAGTTCATATATATTTATTTGGCTATGTTCTACATAGATATCTATATATATATATTTATACCTTTCAAATGTTCTAGATTTGCTAAATAAATATGAAAGCAAAGGAAACATTACTTGTACACACTATTTGTTTGGCTGTCATAAAAAATATAGCATGTATTTTGCATGGTAGATACTTTGCTAAAGGATAGTGTGCAATAGTGGCTTATTTTATTTTATTTTATTTCATTTTATTATTTTTATTTTATTTTTAGAACCTTGTTTGCTGGGGAGAACACTAGCATCAAATTATCTGATCTAAATAAGA